GCTTTTGCTCCTACTCACTTGCTGCTGAAGGAAAATGGAAAAAATCATGAAACCAAGCTGACTGGGTCCACTATAAAGATGATGATGATGATGATGGCTAACATTTATATAGCACTGACTATGTGCCAGGCATTGTGCTAAGCACTTTAAAATTATTATCATACTTGAGCTTCACAACATTCCTGGGGAATAGGTGACATTATCCCCATTTTACAGATTAAGAAACTGAGGCAGACAGAGACTAAGTGACTTGCTCAGGTTCACACAGCTAAAGAATTCATTACTCAATGGTTAACATATTTTGGTTCCTCCACCCCTCAACAGCCTACTCCAGATCTTCTCATCCCTTCTACTCTGCTCTCTAGATGCCTGCTTGAGAGGTAATAAACTTGCTTTCATCTAAACCTTTACCTTTCATGTCTTACCTCTTCTCGAACTCTCAGAGACCTAGTTCCCTCCATATGGCACTATATCCCTACCCCCACCTCCATCTCAACCTCAACCTCACTGGTTATGGTGGGGAAGTCAGAATACTCTTTGTTCTCCTTTGCCACTTGTAGACACTCTCACTCTGCCATCACCCAATAACCTCCTCTCCATTTGAGGATCATTCAATCCATATTTATGACCCAATCAAGATTTTGGCAGCTGTTGTTACCGACTGGTGTCACTTTCTTTGCCTTCCTTAATGAGTTCAGTGACTAGCTAATGGTCTTTCTCTCCTGCTTTCATATTAAGGCACTTCAAGATACACACAGCTTCTCACTTCCTCATTTCATTTATTTTCCATGAACTTCTGCCATTCCCCAAGTGCTCCACTTCTGTGTTCGTGAACTCTGAAATTCCCTTATCTGTTGCCATTCCACCTCTCCCTCTGCCCTGAAATTCCTAACCCTGTTCTTCATCCTCACCATGACCTCTAACATCTTTACCTCTCAGTTATTTCTCAGGCCATTACCGCTAGACTGGCTATGCTCTCCTCCCTTTTACATCTTGACCTCTTGGTGAACCAGTTCAGCCCTACCTTGTCCTCATCTCTATAGCCCCTCGTTCCCTAATCTTATAACAAATGTTGCTCTAAGTCTCAGCCTTGGATTACTCCCACTATGTGTTGACTTTGCTCCTACTCAACTTGCTGCTGAAGAAAGCTAGAAAAAATAACAAAGCCAAGCTGACTGGGTCCATTATAAATTTGTTAACAATAATTATAATAAGCTAAGATTTATATAGCACTTACTCTGTGCCAGGCATTGTGCTAAGCATTCTACAGTTATTATCTTATTTGATCCTCACAATAATCTTGGGAGGTAGGTGATATTATTATCTCCATTTTACAGATGAGAAACTGAGGCACACAGAAATTAAATGACTTGCACAGGCTCACACAGCAAAGTAAGTGTCTGAGACCAGATTGGAGGTCAGTTCTTCCTGATTCCAGGCCTGGAACTCTCTCTACTGTACCACCTGGCTGCCCCAATTATTACATAATTTGAAGTGGGCCCTTGCTGCATCAAGACAATCCTTTCATATGCCCCTAATTGATTCACTATCCCACTCACCATAATTGTTTATCCAAACCTTGAAATTCCTCCCCAAATCTCCCAAGTTCCACGCCCTCCATGCACCCTCTAAGCTGAGAACCTTACCTCATATTGCACTGAAAAAATCAAGGTTATTTGCTGAGAGCTCCCTCTTTTCCCCTCTTCATCTCACATTACTAAGAAGCCTTCTGCCACTATCTCTTCTTCACTCATCTCACACAAAAAGGTGACTCTTTTCCTTGGCCTAAGCAAACCCCTTCTACATGCACAAGTGATCCCATTCTATCCCATCTTCTCTAGCAGACTGTCCCCTCCATCATTCTCATTCTTTTTTTAAAATGTTTTTATTTATATATTCTGTTCGTATATCACCATAGTATCCTATTTATCCCTTGCCATATGTCTCCCATATGACAGGCGTGTGTGTGTGTGTGTGTATACATATATATATACACACACACACACACACACACACACACATATATTTTAGAGAGGAAAAAAAAGTCGACACAACTGATTAGTGTGCTGAAAAAAGTCCAAAAACATTTACAATGTGTAACACTTGTGAACTTCCCACCTCCACAAAGGGGGTGTTTTATATCTTCATTCAAGTTCCATTTGGATCTTTATAATTGTGTTACATTTACTTTTGATTTTTTTGTTATCTTGTTCTTTACATTTACATCGTTGTGGTTATTGTGCATACCGTTTTCTTGGCTCTGTTTACTTCACTCTGCACCAGCTATATAGATCTTCTCATGTTTCTCTGAATTCATCACGTACAATATTTCTTATATTGCAGCAGTACTCCATTACATCCTATACCATGATTTGTTTAGCTATGCCCCAACTGATAGGCATCTGATTTTGTTTCCAATTCTCAGCTATTACAACATTTTGGAGTATATATGGACTTTTTTCTTATCAATGGCTTTTTTAGGGTATAAACCCAGTAATGGAATCTCTGGTTCAAGTCAAGACCCTGGTTCATTTTTAGTCACTGTATTTACATAATTTCAGATTGCTTTCCAAAATGGTATTAGTTTCCAAAATAGTAAACCAAGTTTGAATTTTTCATTAAGAAACCCCAAAGTAGACAAAACTGGTGCAAGAAGAACTAAGTATGTTTAAAAGCTCTCATAAAGGTAAGTTAAGTACAAGATAACCATTCTGAAAGCCAAAGGAATCTCATCCATATGCCAGTGAAGGGAAGCCATCAGGAGGCCTTTGTAAATAAGTTACATATTTAATTTGGGCACGTTAGTTTACATATGGTCTAAACTTGAACTTAAGTTCAGATTTAGTTATTCCCATTCTAATTTCAGCATTTCATTCTTTAATCTGATGCTAAGAATACACTATACAACTTCCTGACCTATATGATTTTAAATAACATTATTTAAGAGTATTGTCATTTCCTTTGAAAATAAAACCAAAAAGATGTCCTCTGATCTTTCCTATTTAATATAGTGCTAATAGTGCTGTTATGTTTTTATTGATCATCAAATGGACTGAGTATTATAATACTAAGGTCATCTTAAGTGAGCAGTAGGAAGGAGGGAGCTGTGGTGGATCCAGTAAGAATATGGAGCCCTCAAAGCTATTAAGAATGCTAACAAATACTATTAGAAAGTTGAGAAAATTAGAAGATAGTATTTAGTAAAGATTACACATAAAGATACACACAATGTATGCATGCATATTTAAAATGCCAGGGACTTTCTTCTACTGCCTGGATACCAAAGGCACAGGTGAGCTCTCCATTGGTTGTTCTTTCATATTATGACATGATAGTCACACATGAGTGGCACAAAGCTGGGGAGGTGGGGAATGAAGATTCCATTAACAAAAGGGAAATAATTACTTGGGCTAGATTGAATCTACAAATTACTTAACTACAAAACAGAACTACTACACCCTGCTTTGGGAGGGGTTAGGGTAGGGAGCCTTACTTATGAGATAACACTCCCCAAGTTCACGTAAGTTCTGGGCAAAACATCTGCATAAGGTATTTTCTTAGAACTTGTTAAGCAGAGTGGTAAGGGAAACAGAGTCCTGAGCTTGGAGTCAGATCTAAATTCCAATCCCTTCTCTAGTATCCTTTTGTTTTTGAAGACCAGTGATATTTTGAATGAGTGGTGTCCTGTGCATGAATTAGATTTGTGAGGCCTTTGTAAGCATCGAAAATCATCAGCCTCCCTTCCAGTCAAGAAAGTCCAGTGGAAAAACAAAAATCAGGACAGACAATAGTCCAAGATGCAGTGGATAACCTTGGCATCTTCAATGTCTTACTACTCTCTCAGCACCCCATGGCACCTGCTTCAACCATCTTGGAATAAACTGTCCTCATCCTCTCATTCTGCCAGAATTCTTCACATGCTTGGAGCAGGCATTCCCCAACTAACCAACAGTTTTAAAACCTATTAGCTACCCTCAACCTGGTTTAGCCCATCTAATAAAACATTTTACCTCAATGTGGCCAACGCGTGTTACAGCTTCTTGGAGCCACAGGCAAGAGCTGGGTGACAGGTGGACACCAAACCTGGGTAACCAGCCCTGAAAATGCTTTGGAAAGCCTTCACACCAGTTGCTAGTCCTCTCTCAACATGTATGGATATAAGCAAGTCACTTAAGGTCTCCAAACCTGTTTTCTCATTTGTAAAATTTGTATAGTGCTTGTATAGTACCTACCTCAGAAGATTAATGGGCTCAAATGAGGTAACACTTTGTAAACCTAAAACCATTACATTCCATTTATTATGGGATTTCATCTATTATCAGACTTGTGATTTCATACTCCTTTTGAGGAACTTCCTCTACCAAAAAAGCTTGTCACCATCTCTGCAACTTAAATACTATGAAACTGACTGGGGCAGAAAGGGTGAGTAACTTACCCAGCAGTCACACAGTATGTTAGAATTGGACCTTGAACCTAGACCTCTGATTTCAAGGTTTGCTCTCTATCCACTGGCTGGTAAACTACAACCAAAGGGCTAAATCTGGCCTGCTATCTATTTCTGCATGTTTCTTTTACATTTAATAAAATGTAAAAACCATTTTTAGTTCACAGGCTATACAAAAACGCGCTGTGGGCCATGGTTTGCTGATTTCTGCACTATGCTGTACTGCCTCTCACAGAAGCAAATACATATTGGTATAACTGTATCATACATGAGAACTAATTTTTAAGGTGAGGATAGTTGGCTTGTTCTTCCAGGTATTAGAACATACAATTATAGATTTGTATGCAACCTGTTGGATTACACAGAGGAAGTGAGCAAGGGAATAGAACAGATTCCAGGAACAGATTAATAATATAAAAATTCAAGACATGACAAACCAGAATAGGGAGGCAAATCATTCTTTAATAAAGTTGGAAAAACTGGACCACAGCATGAAGAACTAACTTGGAACCCTATTATAACAAATTCAAGGTGGGTCAAAGAGTTAAACAAAAACATGTATACATATAAAACACCAGAAAACAGAATAACATTTTTATCAACCATGAAGGGAGATACAAAATGCAGCCTTAAAAGTTACCAAACATGGTCTATCACTTTCTTACAATATCATAAAAGATTCTACAACATATCACATAAACAACTGTTCATTAATCCACTGAATGTCTATATTAATGAAGTAAAAAAAAAGGAGAGACAAATGCTCAGTAGGAAACTACTTCTGTTAGTGACACGAATGGCTGTCACTTTTATTTGCTGTAGTAGTTATCTACTACTACTATAAAATTACTCCTCTACAAGACAGGGGTTACCAGAACAGATGAGAAACTAAAATGTATGCAAAAAAATCTTTACAGCACATATCCTCAAATCTCCTTATAATTGAGTTGGTTCTTACCACAAAGCAACAGTTAAGTTCTCATATGGCAAGGAAAGCCCTGGAATAAATGCGGGAATTATAAAGGCTCAACTATTTAGTCCATTAATCCCAAAACTCTTACAACCTCTCACCTATGGCCTTCTACTTATTAGTGTATAAGCATCTAACAAAGGGTCTAGCAAAATAAACAGTGTTACAGAGAGAGAAATGGGATGAATTCAAACTAGGCAACAGAAAAATTGTGAATTGTAAATACAGTTAATTTCCATATTAACAATCTATATTGTCCTCAACCCAAAGTATGGAATGTGAGCCATTTATCAAAATGAGGACAACAGTGAATTCGCAGGCAGGGGCCTCTTATTTCTCCAGGAGTGATTCCAGCTGTTCCTGCAAGGAACTGAGCTGTTGTTTCTCTCGTTCTTCCTGCTGTTTGAGCTCAACCAGCACAGCCTGAAGACGAGTCTTGAGCGCCAGATTTTCTACTTTGATGATAAGGTCTTCCTGTCTTTTTGCTCTCCCTTGAGTCTCTTGGAGTTTACTTTTCATTATATCAATCTGCTTCTGAATTGCCATGACCATCTGATTTGTTTCCTCATTTTCTTGGCGCTGTTCATCAGATTCATCAAGCTTGTCTTGTAGCTGCCTCTCTAGGTCTTCCTCAGTGTCAATGATGTTTATATCTTCATCATCATGAGGATCTCTCTCATCTTCCTCTTCACTACTGCTGCTAATGTCATTAAATATCTCCCGAAGCTCATCATGTTCTGAGGAGCCATGGCCCTGCTTATGGCCACTCATTCCTGGAGAGGCAATATCTAGGCCTGCTAAGGAAACCTGGTTATCCACTTCCTTTGTTTCATCTTCTGCAATTACCTCCCATCGGGCACTGACAGCTTCTGCATCTGTACTGAGAAGCCTCTTTACCTCTTTTTCCACATCTGGTGATTCAATGTACTTCTTCTTGGCTGTCTTACGGAACCTTCTCTTTCTGACATTCTTTAGTGGCAGAGTGATACCGTGGTTCCAGATGAATTTCCTCTCCCTATCCTTATCTTTCTTCTTACTTGCTTTTGGATCAGTAGTGGCAACTGGTTCTTCCGGAGGTGGGTAAAGATCCCCATCCACACTGCACACAAGCATCTGGCAGATATCCGCTGTCTTGTAAAAAGTTTTTTTATCTATGGTTTTCAAGGATTCAGTAATGCAGGGCAGATCAACCACCTTAGCAGCTAACGGGGCACGGTCTACCCGGACAATTCCATGACGTCCATCTGCATGTAATTCAATGGTCAATTTATCTTTCAGGTTGACACTTCCAGACTGTATTGCCCTTCTCACAGTGGAAGCATATTCTGGAGGTAGACGTAATATGAACTGGCTTTCCAACTCATGGGGAGCATCTTCTTTGTTCTTACTCATCTTTGGTTTCGTAACAGTCATTTCCTCTTGCCTTGCTTCACAGTAAATGATTATATCATTCAAAATCTAAAAATAAAGGGAAAAAAATCATGTAAAATACAACATATGAGAAATTTTTTTAAAAAACCACACTACAGCTTGAGCACATTAACAAATCAAACCCTTAAATAATACTTTTGCTAACAAGGTTTTGCCAGAATAATCCTAATTCAATACTTCCTAGTATTGAATTCAACACTTCCTACTAGAACTTCTAAAGTATTTTCTCCAATGTTATGCATTTTAGTTTTTAGCAGGCAGAAGCAATGAAAACTGAAATAAAAATAAGTACTTATGATCATCTTTGGTAAAAGGTGAGGCCTCTGATAATGAAGTTTTTTATTTCACTGGGAATTTAATTTAGCAAGACCCTTTCCAGAATGTCCAATAAAAGACTGGTTTCAAAATATTTCAAACTAATGAATTGCATACATACATAATACATATAGTGTTATGTATGTGTTTTTTTAATCAATACTTCTTCTGTGTGGGATTAAATGAATACAGCTTCCCCTAACAGAGCAAAACCACCGATAGACACAGAAGTCTGTACCTCCTTAAGAACTCCCACTTAGTTTTTGCACTACCCTAGGCTCTGAGTTTAGGCCCCAAACCAATCCTCTGGTATATTCTTAGGAGACAATGGAGGATGCAGAGGAAAACAAAAAAAACAATCAACAAAAACAAACCTCTATCACAAATCTTTACCACTTAACACACTGAAGACTAATGCCTGTCTTGGCCCAATCTCTTCCCTTCCCCTAGCCCAGGATTTATGGGAAGAGATGGACTTGCACAGAATGAGAGATAGATTGTGATCTTCATTGGTGAAAGGTATGTAATACCCTCACAAAAGATGCTACAGACCAATTGAAGTTCTGAAATAGGTGACCAGGACATTTCAGTAGGTAAATATACTACTATACAACATATTTTGGTATATACATTTCACTTTTGCACATGAAATGCAATAAACATGAAAAGGAAAGCAATGGTATGGGAAAACTTCTTTAATAAGCAATTAATAAATGCTAGTGATCTAAACTATACAAATAAAACATTTACAAAAACACATAATATACTTCAAATACCTTTAATGTCATCAGTGTGGGTACCCTCTGTATTGATGCAGATTGTAAGCCCTTTATCACTTAGGGGATGCCTTTCAGAACTGCTGCAGTCAAAAACTCAGAACCAACTTTTTGACTTAGCTAGGATGGTCCCTGAACAATGCAGGACTGAATTAGACATCTTTCCACTTTGCCACAGCTTGTGTTATACTGGCATAGCTTTGGCAATAAAGCATCAGAGTAAGTTTAAGGACGTGGGTAAATAGATCTATGTAAAATATAAATACATCATCTTATGGAAAATACAAACATTAAGCACTGATTAAAAAAATAAATTTACCAACATACAGATTACATTTAATAGGCAAAGCAACAATAGTATATAATAGGGACATTTCAGGAAATCATCCAACACAAAAAGGCATCAGCTACCTCACTGGCAATTCAAGGAAAGTAAATTACCAGTATATATTAGACAGATAGCCTAATATAATAGGATGACTTCAGGACAGACCTAGATTCAAAGTCTAACTTTTAGACTTACCAGTTGTGTAGCGGCCCCTGGCAAATCACAACCTGGCTAAGTCTCAGTGTCTTCACCTACAAAATAAGGAAATAATTTATGAAAGGCACTTTGTAAGCTTAAAATGTTATGCAAATATAAGCTACGATTAGTATACTAGACCTGTAAAAAATAAACATGATAAAAACTTAGGGCAGGGGTGTGGAAAAACAGTTATTTGTGTTCACTGTTAACCATAAACTATTTCTGGAGAGCAGTCACCTAACAGAGATCTCAAAATTGTTCAAAATACTTTGACTTAGTAAATCCAAATTGAGGACTATACTATCAAGGAAATATGACACATAAATTTTTACAAAGCTGCTCAGACCTGTGCTATTTAAAGAGCAGAAAACTGGAAACAACTTGACTTTCCAATGGAGTATGGATAAGCAATCCAATGAAACTACAGCCTAGCTATTAGAAACAATATGTGCAGATTAAGTTAATATATGAAAAGTTTTTTTTTTTGGCTAGGCAATGGGGTTAAGTGACTTGCCCAGAGTCACTCTGCTAGTAAGTGTTATGTGTCTGAGGCCGCATTTGAACTCAGGTCTTCCTGAATCCAGGGCCACTGTTCTATCCACTGCGCCACCTAGCTGCTCCCTGAAAAGTTCACCTTAAATGAAATAAAACTTGATTTTTGTCTTTCAAGTTTTAGGACTCTGCAGTGTCTGACCCCACAGGAGGTGCTTAGTAAATGCTTGCTAAATAATTAAAGACAAACTAGTACAAAATAATTACGGTGGGGGGGGTGCGCACACGCACGCGCATGCCTATATATATACACACACACGCACGTAAACACTTTATAAATGGTGTTGTGAGTCTCAAGGACACAGATATACTACAATCTTACATTAAAAGTCTGCGTTCTGGGGTCTTGGGACCAAGTGATTTGAAAAAAAAAGGAAAACAAAAATTTCCTCTATCATTCTGTGGTCAACTCAGGCAAATTTTTTGAATAGCAAAAGACTGGCAAACCTCCACCTCCTGCCGCAGCACTCACCACCTTCCCCGCCCACCCCCAAACTCTTCCCAATTAGGTGGGACAAGTTTACTCAAAAGCAGAGATTCCGTCTTTAGAGTGCATCCCAACCACTGGTTGTAAATAACACTACCAGGCACATAGTAGTGTATTTTTTTTAACAAGCCTCACTAGCTTTCCTTCAATGCTCAGCTTTAGTACTACATTCCCTTATCTCTCATTTTGGAGACAACTGTGACAGCAGTTGTAGCCTGTACAGTCAAAAGAACTAGAATAATCCTTTTTTTTTTTAAAGACCTGGATTCAAGTCCCAGCGTCGCCATATAGGAGCAGTGTCTTCCTTGGTGAGTAAAACAATCTTTCCAGAGCTGCTTCCTCAGAAAACAGGGGATAATAACAAATCATTAACAGGATCCACCTCCCGCGGGGTTACCCTAAGGGCCAAGCAGGGAGAAAAATACTTTACACTACCTGTCTGAGATTGCTCTCAGGATCGAATGAGACGTGTCAGTGCCGCCTTTAAAAGAGGGGCCTCATTCCCTGGAAGAATCCAGCTTACGTCGGCAAAGCTCACGAGCGGGCACCACGATAAACCTAAACCACGGCGCAGCCGGGTCGGCGACGGGCAGGCGGGCGGCAAAATGGAGTCGCATCTCCAACAGCCCAAAGAGCGCGAGAGTTCTGCGGGTCACGTGGAACGGAGCAGCCCCTCCCGCCGCCTCGGGAAACATCGAAGCTCCCACCCCCAAACCCTCCGCTGACCCTCAATGAGCCTTGTTCCACGCCGCTCCCACCCCCCCCGTCCGTTTCAACGCCTGTAAAATGACGATTTTTAGACGATTACGAAAGTCCCTTCCAGCTCCCTCAAATTTGACTAACCTCGAATGAGCAGGAGACACGAGCAACCCAAGCGCTACTCTTCGCCCCGGTAATCTGAGGATTTAGCAACCGGAAGTTGGGGGGAGGGTGCCACTTGACACCGGCCCCTCCCACTCACAGCCCCTTCTTCAGGCTAACTGCGCGCTCCGGGTCCCTGAGCTCGGCGTCGGCACGTGACGCGACGCCCAGTCCTAACGCATCTACCGAGGATCGGTATTCTTAGCGGCCCTACGAATGCGAGACACTCCTCTCGGCGGTGAATGGCCACAGGGAACGCCCGATCTCGCGATCTAAAGTGACTCCACCCAGCAGAGGGGCAAGGCTACTTTTCACATGCTGGCCAGACTCAAGCAGCCGATTGGAGAGCCGTAGAGCCTGGAGGAAGTGAGGGGGTGGTGATCCCCTCTTCCGCCCTCTTTTCCCTCCCCCAACCTCATCCCCCACTCCCTCATCAGGCCCCAGCCTGACTGCGAACCCAGGCGAGTCCTAAGCCAGGGCAATCTGCGCCTGCGCCCGCGCCCGCCACCCCGGCGGGCCCCCGGGGTTCCAGGTTCGGGCTTCGAGCTCGAGCTCTCCATGTCCGAGCGTTCCATGGGCCAGCGGCTCGGGTCACGATGACGGATTACAGCGAGGAGCAGCGCAACGAGCTGGAGGCTCTGGAGTCCATCTACCCGGACTCCTTCACAGGTGACTACAAGTGGGTCGGGGAGGGGGAGGGGGAGGGCTGTTCTTTGCTGGTCCCCTGGCCAGCCAGCACCGCGGAGGCGCCCCTCTCCCGTGCGCGCTGCATCGCCCCGGCGTCGCCGCTCGGGACCCCGAACCTCGGCGCTGCCCCTGGCCGCGGGCGGAGAGCCTGAGCCGGGATCCTCATCCTCCGGCCCACCGGCCGGTCCTCTCCCCCTCCACATAGAGGGTCCTAGGTTTTCGAGGTACGTACGTGCTGAAAATCAGTCTTACCTGGGCCTCGCTCCCTCCGCAGGCGTGTCCTGGGCCGGGCTTCGTTCCTGGGGTCGCTGCGTCCCGTCCCCTGGTCCGGCCGGGTTCCTGCGCGGAGGCGTGGAAGGTGCGGGGCCTGTAACTTAAGTTAATGGCAGTTTAGTTTCCATGCGGTAATGAGCAGGGCATGCATTTTTTGTTCTAAGTAATATTTTGGCAGGTCTGCTTCTTTTTGGCAGCAGAAATTGACTTAGGAGTTCTTAACCTGCGGCTTTTGAACTTTTTTACTCTCACACATACACATGTATGTGTGTGTGTGTATAGAGAGAGTGTCTATATAAACACACATATGTATCTACATATAGACCCAAACGAAAATGTACGTTTATATAGACATGTGTATTTGTGTATATATATTTACATGAATATATATATATACATACACACATATATATATATACATACACGTGTGTGTAAAAATAGTCCACGAACCCCAGATTGAGAACTCCTGTTCTTATATACATAATTTTTGTTGTTATTTAGTCGTTTTTCAATTGTGTCTTACTCTTTGCGACTCCTTTTGGGGTTTTCTTGGCAAAAATAATGGAGTGGTTTGCCATTTCATTCTCCAGATCATTTCACAGATGAGGAAACTGAGGCAAACAGGTTTAGTAATTTGCACGGCTCACACGGAAGTATCTGAAGCCAAATTTGAATGCCAGGCATTCTATCTTCTGTGCCACCTAGCTGCCCATACATATATAGTACTAATATACATATATAGACGTGTGTATATTACATATATGTACTTATAATGCACATACTTAATACTCCCATATATAGGTGTCCTGGGTTTTAAGCTTTAAACTGCACTATGACTTTTGGAACATTATATCCCATAACGAAGTTGTAATCCTGTTTTTTATTTTACCCATCTGGAGACATTAAGGTTTCCATAGATTTCACTTAACTGCCAAAAGTGCCCATGACACACGCAAAATAAGTTATGTTGGCATTTCGGTCAGATATTTGTGAAATGCCTACCATATGTGCCAGACACTGCTAATCGATGAAGGTAAAAAATAGGGGAAAATGAGTTCCTGCTTTCGGGGAGCTTACAGTCAAATCAGGGCAGACAATGAGAAAATAGATTTTCCATTACAGATGTTTTCAGATTAAGCCTACTTAAAAGATTAAGAACCCTTGACTTACTGGAAACAGATACCAAAATTGCACTTTTTGTTGGAGTGAAAGTGGTTACCTGAATGTTTTCATTCAGAAGTAAACATCAGTAGTCCTTTAGAGCAAAGAGACTTGAGTGAGTTGGTAAAGACTGTATTCTGAATATTTTGGAGCTGTGGTCTGAAGGGGAGAGATCTGCTGCTGTGTATATTCATTCTCCAGTTGAGTTAACAAAACCACAGAGATGTGAATTCCATAAGGCCTCCATAGTAACTTGTGAACCTGGGCAGGTTTCATTTATTAAATGGGAATGAAGAGTGATCTATTCCACTCATCTCCCTATTTGACAAATTAGGAAACTTGAAGCTTAGAGGTTAAATGAGTTGCACAAGATCATTGTATCAGATTTAGAGCTGGAAGGAACCTTAAAGGCCATCTAATCCAACCTTCCCTCCCTTTCCCCTTTTTTCCAGTACTTACCTCCCAGTGTTATTGTGAGGAACAAATCAGTTAATTTTAATAAAAAAATGCTTTGTAAACTTAAAATGACACATAAACGTTAGTTATTATTACCTGTGTGACCTGCCATGTACCAATGGAGTGACCTTTGGCAAATCAGCCAACTTCAGGGTCTCAGTTTTGTCATCTATAAAGTGAGGAGGTTATATTAGATGGCCTTTAAGGTCCTTTTCAGCTCCAAATCTATGATCCTATGACATTGTATAAGTCTTTACACTCTGGGCTTCACTGTCTTTATCTGTCAGGTTGGGGGTGGAGGGGATTGTGTATGGGTATAGACTAGATCCATCACTTTACTCTCCCTGAGCCTGTGCCCCTGAGATCACACCAGAGAAGATAGTTGAAAACATGGTCCACTTGACTGGATCAGAAGACCAGAGTTCCAGTACCACCTCTGCTGTTTACTGCCTGTGTGGCTTAGGTGTCTGATTCTCAATTTTCTAATATCTAAAGTGAGTGGCTTGGAGTAGGTGATCTAGAAGGATCCCTTCCAGCTTTAAATCCTATAATCCAGGTCTCTGGACTTTCAGCCCTGTACTCTTTCCCAATTCCACCCTTCCTTAAGTAGAGAGGCTTCTTTCTTACATTCACACTTTGTAAAATAGAGTAGCCCTTGATGACTGTGACTGAAAGCCTTGGAATCATTACTAGGAATGTCTTCAAGGCCTTTCAGTTGCCCTGAAGCAGTGTAGTTTGAGCTATGAGAATATTCAGAGATGAATGAAGTTGGAAAGTGTCAATACTGTGGAATTTACTTCCTTCTCAGCATGTATCCTGTGTTTGAACCACACTCCATTGTTTCTAGCTTATGGTGTCAATAATATGTATGAATTTTCTTTTTGGGGGGAAAAAAACTAAAATCACAAACATGGACAGCTGTTAATTATGTTCTTAAGCATAAAGTGAGATGATTTTCAGTACTATGTAAGTAAGAATTAGGACATGTTCCATATGTGAGTCAGCGTAAAGAAAACTGAATTTGCCATTCTTATTTCTCTCAGAATAAAAGGGTGTGACTCAATTGATAGTACCTCATAAGTGGTTATAAGTTGCAGTATTTAAAGTAGTAAAATCATTAGTAGCAGTGGGGAACAAGTAGAGTTGATACTGATTCTTTTTTTTTTTAACATTTTTATTTAAAGTTTTGAGTTCCAACTTCTATCCCTCCTCGCCTTCATCCTCCCTGAGACAGTAAGCAATCAGATATAGGTTGTATATATGCAATCAAGTAAGACATTTCCACATTAGTCATTTTGTATAATGACTTGAATAAAAAAAAATGAAAGAAAGTGAAAAATAGTATGCTTCAGTCTGTATTCAAGCAGTATCAGTTCTTTATCTGGAAGCAGATAGTATACTTCATCATTAGTCCTTTGAGATTCTCTTAGATCATTGTATTGCTGAGAATAGCTAAGTCATTCACAATTCGTCATCAAATAGTATTGCTGTTACTGTGTTCAGCGTTCTCCTGTTTCTGTTCATTTCACCATGCATCAGTTCATGTAAGTCCAGGTTTTTCTGAAATCATCCTGCTTGTCATTTCTTATGACACATAATATTCTATTACAATCATATAGCAAAGCTTGTTTAGCCATTCTCCGATTGATGAGCATCCCTTTGATTTGCAATTCTTAGCCACCACAAAAAGAACTGCTATAAATACTTTTGTACAAATAGGTCCTTTCCTCTTTTTTCTGATGTCTTTGGGATATAGATCTAACAGTGGTATTGCTAGATCAAAGGGTATGCACAGTTTTCTAGCCCTTCCCACATAGTTCCAAATTGCTCTCCAGAATGGTTGGATCAGTTCACAACTCCATCAGTAGTGCATTAGTGTCCCAGTTTTCCCATATCCCCTCCAACATTCATTATTTTCCTTTTTTGTCACATTAGCCACTCTGATAGGTATGAGGTGGTACCTCAAAGTTGTTTTAATTTGCATTTCTCTGATCAGTAGTGATTTAGGTCATTTTTTCATATGACTGTGAATAGCTTTGATTTTCTTTGAAAACTGCCTGTTCATGTCCTTTGACCATTTATCAATTGGGGAATGATTTGTACTTTTACAAATTTGACTCACTTCTTTATATATTTGATAAATGAAGTCTTTATCAGAGATACTTGTTGCAAAATTTTTTCCCCAGTTTTCTGCTTTCCTTATAATTTTGGTTGCATTTGGTTATGTTTGTGTAAAAACCTTCTAATTATCCATTTTACATTTTGTAATGCTCTCTATATCTTCTTTGGTCCTAGATTCTTCCTTTATCCATAAATCTGACAGACTATTCCATGTTCTCTTAATTTGCTTATGGTATTACACTTTATATGTAAATTAGGTTCCCATTTTGACCTTATCTTGGCATGTGGTTTGAGATGTAGTTTCTGCCATACTGTTTTCCAGTTTTCCCAGCAGTTTTTGTCAAATAATGAGTTTTTGTTCGTATTTATCATATACTAGATTACTATAATGATTATTTACTATAATGTAATTTGTACCTACTGATCCACCAATATTTCTTAGCCAATACCAGATTGTTTTGGTAATTAGCACTTGGTAATACAATTTGAGATCTGGTACAGCTAGACCACCTTCTTTCACATTTTTTTTCATTGATTCTGTTGATATCCTTGAGCTTTTGTTCTTCCAGATGAATTTTGTTGTTATTTTTCTAGCTCTATAAAATAATTTTTTAATGGTTTGATTTGTATAGCATTAAGTAAATAGGTAGAATTGTCATTTTTATTATATTGGCTTGGCCTACCCATGAGCAATTAATATTTTTCCAGTTTAGATCTGACTTCATTTGTGTGAAAAGTGTTTTATAGTTGTGTTTATGTAGTTTCTGGGTTTGTCTTGGCAAGTGGACTCCCAAGTATTTTATATTGTCTACAATTATTTTAAATGGAATTTCTCTTTCTATCTCTTGCTGCTGGACTTTGTTGGTAATATATAGAAATGGTGGTAACTTGTGTGGGCTTATTTAGTATCCTACAACTTCGCTAAAATTGTTAATTTCTTCTTTTTTTAAAATTTATTTTTAGTTTTCAGCATTTGCAAGATTTATGAATTCTAATTTTCCCCCCTTTCCCAAGATGGTATGCAATCTGATATAGGCTGTACATATATAATCATATTAAACATATTTCCACATTAGTCATGTTGTAAAAGAAAAATCAGAACAAAAGGAAAAACCATGAGAAAGAAGAAACAAAAAACCAAAAAAAAAAGAGAATGGTATGCTTCGATCTGCATTCAGACTCTGTAGTTCTTTCTCTGAATATAGATACCATTTTCTATCATGAGTTAAAGTTGTTAATTTCAAGTAGTTTTTTAGTTGATTGCCTGGGATTTTCTAAATATAACATCATATCAACTGCAAAGAGTGGTAGGGTTATTTCCTCATTGCCTATTCTAATTCCTTTCATTTTTCTTTCTTAACTGCTATGACTAACATTTTTGGTACAATATTAAATAATAGAGGCAATAATGGGCATCCTTGCTTCACCCCGATTGTATTGGGAAGGCTTCTACCTTACCCCCATTTTAGATAATGCTTGGTGATGGTTTAAGCTGCATTTATTCCTATGCTCTCTAGTATTTTTAATAGGAATGAATGCTGTATTTTGAGGCTTTTTCACCATCCGTTGATATAATCATATGATTTCTGTTGGTTTTGTTATTGACATGCTCAATTATGCTGATAGTTTTTCTAATATTGAACCAGCCCTGCATTCCTGATATAAATCCCACCTGGTCGTAGTGTATGATCCTTGTGATATATTTCTATAATCTCTTTCGTAGTATTTTATTTAAAATAATTGCATCAATATTTGTTAGAGAAATTGGTCTATAATTTTCTTTCTCTTTTTTGACTTTTCCTGGTTTGGGTATCAGTACCATTTGTGTCATAACAGGAATTTGTCAAGACTTCTTCACCTGTTTTTCCAAATAGTTTATATAGCATTGGGATTGGTTGTTCTTTAAATGTTTAATAGAATTCGCTTGTGAATCCATCTAGTCTTCTTAGGAAGTTCATTGATGGCTTGTTCAATTTCTTTTTCTAAGATTGGGTTATGTAAGCATTTTGTTCAGTTAATCCGGGTAATTTATATTTTTGTAGATATTCATCCATTTCATTCTTCTTCATTGGTGGTGAATTCACTCCTTTCGTTTTTAATACTAGTGATGTGGTTTTCTTCTTTCCTTTTTAAAATCAAATTAACCAATGCTTTGTCTGTTTTATTTGTTCGTTTTTCATGAAACCAGCTTCTAGTTTTATTTATTAGTGCAATTTGGCTATGATGTTCCTAGGAGTTTTCATTTTGGGATCTCTTTCAGGTGGTGATCAGCGGATAATCTTTCAATTTCTGTTTTGCCCTCTGGTTCTAATATATGAAGGCAATAAGATGCTGTCCAGGCTTTTTTGTTTTGTTTTGTTTTTTAATCTTGGCTTTCAGATAGTACAATAATTCTTATATTATCTCTCCTGGATCTATTTTCTAGGTCAGTTGTTTTTCCAATTAGAATTTTTTTTGTTAGGCAGTTGGGGTTAAGTGACTTGCCCAGGGTCACACAGCTAGTATCAAGTGTTTGGTCTGAGGCTGTATTTGAACTTAGGTCCTCCTGACTTCAGGGCTGGTGCTCTATTCACTGTGCCACCTAGCTGCCCCTTATTTTTTATTTTTTTAAATTTTATTTTATCATATCTTGATGTCTCATGGTCATTATTTTCCACTTGTTCGATTCTAATTTCTAAGGAATTATTTTCTTCAGTGAGCTTTCGTACTTCCTTTTCCATTTGACCCGTTCTATTTTTCAGGGGATTATTTTCCTCGCTAAATTTTTGTACATATTTTCCCATGCTATTGACTCTTTTTTCATGATTCTCTTGCATTACTCTCATGTCTTTTCCCATATTTTCTTCCACTTCTCTAATTTGCTTTTTAAAATCCTTTTTAAGTGCTTCTAGGAATCCTTTTTTTTGTGAATTGGTTTTTTATTGTACTCTGGTCTTGTACTGTCCCATTCTTTTTGTGCTGAAGTTCTGGGTCTTATTGCTGGCTTTCACTGGACTTCAGGGCTTAGCTGCTTGCTTTCTCTGGAGGGTAGTCTTCCCTTCTGGCTTTTACTGGGGGCTAAGGTCTCCCTGTTGGTATCCCCTGGGTGTGGGGTTTAGCTGCTGACCTGCTCCAGGGGTGGGGCCTTGCTACTGGGTTGGTATGGTAACAGGATCTCTCTGATGGTAGGCCCCGGGGTGGGGGTCTTGGCTGTTGGCCAGTCCTGGCATGGGGCTTTACTACTGGTCAGCAATGGGGTTAAGGCATAGCTGGTGGCTTATACAGGGGATGGGGTCAGTGGGGTGAGGCCTTGCTTTGCTGCACAGACTACTTACTTGCCTAGGGGTGTGCTGGCTTGCAGGAGGGCAGGGCCTTGCTCCCTGCTATGAGGCTGGCTGCAGCTGGTGCTCTTGGACCTCAATCCCCTCCCATCCCTGTGAGACAGACTTATTACCATGCTGGTAAATTGCTTCCCTGCTCCTAGATAAATTCTGAGGTGGTTTTCTAGTTGTTTGAAGGGGAATTTGGGAGGGCTTCAGAGGGTTCCTTCCTTGCTCCATCATCTTGGCAGATACTGTGATTCTTAAGAACTTAGGAAACTACTTTACTTAATGTTTCCAGTTCACAGTTAAACCCTTTGCTATTAGGAAAGGGAGACTAGGAGTTTTGAAGTAAAACATGATCTGACCCTTTGAAAATTCATGGAATGGATACTTGTTATCCACATCTTCTATTTGTGTATATGTGAATTGTTATGTTCATGCCAGTTTCAGTGAAGGTGAAGCTTTGCCATCATTATTGTCCAGAGAAACACAAATTGTAATTATTCTGATTTTACTTCAATCATGAACTAGTATGTTGTAGATTTGGAGTCAAAAGCCTACTAGCTATTAGCTGTGTGCCTTTGGGCAAGTTACCTTTACCTCTCTGGGCCTAGTTAGCTGATCTCTGTGATCTGATGTTATTGTCTCTTTTAAAATAATTTTTATTTGTAGACCTAACTAGCTAAATTCAGAAGCTGCTTTACCCAAATGTTGGTGGTAAAGTTTGGTTTGTTTTTTGGTTTTTTGTTTTGTTTTGTTTTTTGGCACAGAAACGTGTGAAATGATCTAAGGTCTGTGAAGACAGCAATCTGTGTTAATGGAGGGAGTTACCTATATTGATCAAGTCAGTACTGAAAAAGTGAAAGTCATGTTGAAGTGAAATGAAGTGGATACACTGAATTATTCAAAGTGATTTTAAAATCCTTATCATAAAGCATTTATTAAGCTATGGCATGACAAAACTCATTTGGATCTTGGAATCATTCTCCCAAATTAAGGAGCCAGATTTGTTTTTCAGTTTTCAGTGAAACAGAATGGTGAAGGGAGGCTACATGGTATCAAAGGGAATTAGTTAACAATCTCAGGTCAAGATTCAAATTAGCTTCACTTAAAGTATCTCTAGACTCATAATTTTGAAGTTGTAAGGTACCTTAGTGACTCCTGAGTCCAAACGCTTCCCCAAGAAATTCCCACAACTTTTTACAGGTCAGCTAGACTGGGAGAGAGAAAACAGGACAGTTACCGCCTTCAAGAAGTAGAATTGATCTTTTAAAACAAGTATATTTGGCCTAGGTACTCCTTGGACCTTATAGGAAAGGAGTAGATGAAAATCTTGGTGGCTGACCTCTAGGCAGAGGTAAAGAAAGTTTGATGACAGCTGGAAAGCCCTCAGGCTGGCCCCCTGATGGTTTTGTTATCAATGATTGTTGCTATCCAATGCTTTGGACTTCTTTGTGAGATGTTTTGGTATTAAAATGTGAAGGGAAATGGACAAGCCTCTGGGCCAGTTGTTTATTGGTGAGAATAACAGCCTGAATGCCTTACTGAGATCAGTCCTTCAGATATTAAAAGAACTAGGGGATAGTCTTCAGACTTCACTTGGAATAGCATAGAGATAGGTTGCAGTTGGTGGCCATGGAATTTGCTACAGAGAAATTTTTCTCCCAAAATCTCACTTAATTTATGTTTCTAGTGAGAGTAGAAGACAATGTTGGTGATGAGAAAGGTAGTGGGTACATGGAAGAGGACTTTGAGGTTAACCTCTATGTTTAGCAAATGTATCTTCCTCAGCAACAAGGGTTAGAAATTAGGTACAGTACTTCTTAATCATGAACACGTGGTTTCTGATTAATAAGAATTTATTTTGACTCATGTCAGTGATTTATAGAACATCATTAAGACATGGAAATGCTGAAATTAAAAGTTGAGTTGCTTAATTGTGTGAAAACACTGTAAGGTGTTATGTATATTGACATCTCTTCCCAGACTAACAGTATGTCTGGTGGACATTTTTGGACTTAAGTAAGGAAATGTTGCATGCTTCCTCATTTAAGAGTTCTGTTAGTTTGCATTCTATTGAAATAGAAATGCAGGATTAGAGATAATCACAAAAACTATGTTATTGTAGTATATTCAAAAGAGAAAAACATTCAATTTAGGGAAATGTCCTTTAATTTTGTTTATGTTTATATTTTCTTACAGTATTATCAGAAAATCCAACCAGTTTCACAATTACTGTGACATCTGAAGCAGGAGAAAATGATGAAAGTAAGTGTATAGCTCTTCTACTTTTTATTACCCCCAAATTCTCACTCAAGAATTTGAGGTATTTTAAGGTAAGGGTAATGATTGGGGATTAAGCAGCAACTTGTTGCATCAGGAAGTCTGAATCTTATCAAATGTGGTGGAGTATCACATGTATATGTATGTGTAGCAAGGAAAAGCAGTAGAAAAAGCATGAGAATGAGAGTCAGAAGGAATGGATTCTTGTCATGGCTTTTCTGCCGGTTAATAACATGATCTTGGGCATATATTACTTCTCCAACCCTCAGTTCCCTATTCTTTAAAATGATGACCTGCACTATATGATCTCTAAGGTTCCTTTTCTTTCTTTTTTAAAAATATTTTATTCTCCCCACCTCTCGCCAATTGCATACAAAAACAACTTTTAACATTTGTTGTTTTAAGTTTTGAGTTCCGAATTGTATTCCTTTCTTCCCTGCTCTTTCCCCTTCCCTGAGACAGTAAGCAATTTGATATAGGTTATATGTGTGCAATCATGTAAAATATTTCTGTATTAGTCATTTTGTGCAAGAAGACTTGAACAAAAAAAAAGAAACAAAGGAAGTGAAAAACAGTATGCTTCAGTCTATTTTCAGACAGCATCAATTCTTTCTCTAGAAGCAAATAGCATTTTTCATTATGAGTCCTTTGGGATTGTCTTAGATCATTATATTGCTGAGAATAATCAAGTCATTCACAGTACACAGCAGCAGCAGCAATATTATACTGTGTTCTGGTGATGCTCACTTCACTTTGTATCAGTTCATATAAGTCTTTCTAGGTTTTTCTGAACTCGTCCTTATCATTTATTATAATATAATAATATTCCATTATAGTCATATACTACAGCTTGTTCAGCCATCCCCCCAATTGATGGGCATTCCCTCAATTTCCAGTTCTTAGCTACCACAAAAAGAGCTGCTATAAATATTTTTGTACAAATACATCCTTTTCCCTCTAAGGTTCCTTTTCAAAAAGTCCAGGTGTAAAGACAGAAACTCAACATTTTTTCATGAATATTGAGAATCTTTTGTGAGCATTCATTGTCCAAATATTAGCTTATCAGAGAAATACAGAAGGTAATCAGCAAGATATGTTTTCCACCTAAAGCTTCCATCCTAAAACAGCCACTCATCAGAGATGATTTAATAATGGAACAGAATAAATAAGGATGAACGTTTTAGCCCTGCATGAAAGACAAGGGTATTATTTCTGAGTTTCTTGGTATTGTTAATTATTTCTTAGTGTTGGGGTAGCTGTGCTCAGCAGCATTCAGAAATCTCAGGGGGTTATAACAGTAGCTCATGCTTTGCAATTTAGAGTACTCTCCTAACAATATACCCGTGAGAGAATACAAGCATTATGTTTATTTTACAGGTGAGGAAACTGACCCTCAAAAAGATTAAGTGTGATTTGTTACACAGAAGCTAGGAAGCTCCAAAGCTCTGTGACTTAGCCAAAGTCTTTGAACTCCAGATCTGGGCATTCTTTAGACTCTGCTGCTTCTAGGGAAAGATGAACATTTTTCCCCTTGAAGTGTTGTTTTGGTTGAAACACTGATATGATCAGGTAGCATATATGTAGTGGATAGAGATCTGGCCTTGAGGCCAGAAATATCTGGGTCCCAAGTCCTTTGTATGACTCCTTGGGTAAGTGACTTGACCTTTCAGTTGCCTGGGCAGCATTCTAAATTGCAGAGAAGGTGCTGATGATCTTTATTAGTAGAGGGAATTTACTCTTAGGGACTTCCTTATAACATTGAAATCACGGATCCAGTTCTGGTCCATTAACAGAAAAATTGAAAGGAGAGAAGTTTGGGAAGAGAGATCTGGATATTTTGTCTTCAGCACTATTAGAGGAAGAAGGTACCTGGACCAAACATGAGGCCCTTGTGAGCTCGTACAGGCTACTTTTACTACAATTTCATGTGTTCACCAAACTTTCTAGTCTTGATTTGGCTTTCCACATGCGAAGAGATTTTTTTTTAAAGTTACTAAATTGGCTTGCTGGTCTTGGTTATTCTTATGAATTTTCACAATCTTATTATTCCTGTTAACGGAGTTCCAAATTAGTATAGCTGAGCCGTGGGGAACAGGGAGGTAAATTAAATATTGAGGCCTTTTCTGATAGCCAAACCCATCACTATGTAGGTTTTGGTTTTTAAAGCTGGAGAAGTAGGAAGAAAAGGCCCCAAGGAAAGAGGGAGATGTGGAAAGGAAGAAGGTGAGAGTGGTAGCAAAATTTAGTATTAACAGGAGATTCAAATATTGTTTCAACTGTCTACTTTTTTTTTTTTAATTTAAATCATTGGACCCATGGCTTCCAGAGTCGAAGCTATCTTTAGTGCTCACTTTTATGTTTTAGCCACAGGTGATCCTGTGGCCATCTGTTCCAAGATTAATGTTTGGTTCAGTATGGTAAAGAGGAACATGGATAGTGGGATGGGTTTGTTTTCTTGGTCTGTAAAACTGATTAGGAGAGCCTAAATCAGAAACCAAGTATTAGACAATACTCTTCCTAGGAGGGTGGGCTGGTTTACAGAAGTTCAAGCCTGGGGGGTTGTCTTTTTGTTCACTAAGGACTCTTACACATGGAAAACACAGGAGTCCCTTCTAGCTCTAAATTCTGATTCTGTAATTGGAATTGGCCATAGTTTCAGATTATGTTTTTCACATTTGCAGAATCTTATCAGTGAATACTTTTTGTTCACAAATTGAATCACATGAGAATGCATTTGTTGGTGTTCCCTCTGTTTTCTCAGTCTTCTCTCTCCAGCTAAACTGGAAGATTTCTCAGGTCAGGAATTGTGGATTTTGTGCCCTTTGGTTATTTCATAGCGCCCAGTAAAGCATAATGTACATTATAGGTGTCTAGTAAATGCCTGGTGAAATAGTAAATGAATCACTTCATATTATTTATAATTAACTCAGTTGCCTTTATTGGCCACTCTTCATTAGACATCATGTGATTCTCTCACTTTTGAGGGTCTCAGATAACTTTTACCTCTGATCCTCTGCTTCTCAGAGAACTGGGTCTAGAACTCATCAGGCTTTATTGACATTGATCTTTCCTCTTGAACTTTGTTGTTAGGTAAACAAAACCATCAGTTCTTTTCTTTCGTAAGACTTAAATACCTAAGTTCAGGAAGATGTTTTAATTTTTTTTTTCCCTCAAGACATTTTGAACCATGGCAATAAATGGTGGAAGTAGGGGCTGAATACAGTCATAAAGTATCTTGTTTTGGGGGTGGGGGTGGTTTGTCTTTTATTTCTAAGTGGAATAAACAACTTCAAATCTTGATTTTGATTGCTTTTTCTACCAAAAGTACATTCTTGGTTTTTTTGATGCTTTTTGATACATGCCCTTCACCACTCTGAAAGATCATAGGATAAGAGGTTTAGAGCTAGAAGGGAACTTTAAGGTCATCTAGTCCAACTCCCTCATTTTACAGATGAAGAAATTAGTACTCAGAGAAATTAAGTAATTTGTCCAGAGCCACTCATCCAGTAAATGTCAAAGACAGCATTTGAACCCAGGTCTTCCCAACTCCCAAGTCCAGCACTCTGTTCATTAAACCATATCATGTGTTTGTTTGCTTTTTTTTTATAAACTGTACAGGTAAAGCATTACACTGTAAAGAATTGGATTCTTTTCATTTTTTTAATTAAAATCAATTTTACAACTTTTTCAGAAAACCTAAGCTATTTTTGTTTTGAGTTATTTGCCATATAGAGCAAAGCACACACTTTAAACAGTTCAGTTTTGGGGAGGTAACCATCTGCAGTTCATTATGTTAATTTCAAGAGTGTCTGTGTCTCTGTGTGTAAGTGGGGGGTGAAGGGTAAAATATTTTGCCATGTTGCATTAGGAAGATAACCACTTTTAACAAACCCAGCAGATGTTTAAGTTATTTAATTTTGTACAATTTTAATTTTTCTTACTAAATAATAAAAGTATTTTAATCTTTAAACCTTGTGTAATTTTTTACTGTTTTAGTTTTAATGTAAAATGTTCATGTAAAGAATTATAGATTTATTTTAACTATGAAAAATAATTATATTTTAATATGAAATATTTCTATAAAGACTTTCTTTTAGCACTGCCTAAAAACTTAAGTTATGCAGCTTCTTCCTGTTCGATCACTGGGGCAGGCAAGGAAGAAGGCTTTTTATGTTTTAAAGCGATTTTGAAATTTAGAATAAATTTATCCAGATGATGAAAAAAATATCTTCCAGTATGTGTAGAAGATACAGTTGTTAAAAACAAACTATATAAGTCACTTTTATTGATTCACTGATAAGACTTTCTTTAAAAGCCTTATCAGCAGGGTTTTGAAGAGTTTACACTAGGACCTGAAATATATAGTTATTATGCAGGAATGGTTATTAGCTGCTTAAAACATAACCAGTTTTTCTTTAAAAATTTTTTTTAAGGGTAATCCTAGTATTGGAAAGAAAATGAACCAAGGGTAATGTTTATTATTCTGGTCCCTTTTTTTTTTAAAGTGTCAGGTTTGGTTTTGTTTTTTAATTAAAGGAAAAAACCCTAGTAATTTTTATCTATCTAGTTTCTCAGATATGTGATAAATTCTAAGCCAAAAAAGCTTCTGGTTTTCTTTTTTTTTTTTCTGTTCTGGAAGCAAACATTTAATATATTTATATCCCAATCAAAGATAGCTTCTCTACCCATTAAATAGCCTTGTTGTATTCCATATGCAAAGCTGTTGTGGTTTGAGCTGTTGATCTGTTGATTCAGCAAATATGTTGGAAACAATGTGCTGTAAATTTTAAGATGTTAACATGATTCTTCCCTTTTGTTTCTTAGCTGTCCAGACAACCCTTAAGTTTACTTATGGAGAAAAGTATCCAGATGAAATGCCTCGTTATGAAATATTCTCCCAGGAAAACCTAGAAGATAATGATGTCTCAGATATATTAAAATTATTAGAGTTACAAGTAAGAAAAAGGAAAAATTTTGGTATTTTCTTGTCATTGTTTTATTGGTCTGAAATGTTAAGCAGTGATTATAAGGACTGGAAAATGCTACCAATTGTTAAAAATCTTAGCCTTAAAAGGTTACTTATTTTTCTATAGTGAATGTAACTCCAAAGAAGAACTTTTCTTGTAGACCTTGGGAAGGTCATTTACCTCAGTAGGCTTCATTTGCCTCAGATGCAAAAGAGAAAGAGTTGGATTCAGTACTCTTTAAGTTTTCTAACAGCTGTAACATTCTTGGGTGCACAAAACTAGAAGCTAGAACGTCTGTGTTCCAGTCCTGCTAGTAATTTTGCTTTGTGACCTTGGGCAAGTAACTTCATGTGTTTGAGCATCATCTGTAAAATAAGGGGATTACAACCTGAAAGTTTGTAATTCTATTCAGGTTGTTTAAACCTGAACACTTTAGAGAATCCTAAAGAGCTGGAAGGGCTCTTAGGTCATCTGGGCCAGCCCTTCCTCCCCCCTCATGAGTTCCCTCCCCTACTCCAAGAACGATGGTGACTTGTACAAGGTCACAGAACTAGTAAGTAGAGCTAGGAATTAAACCTTGATTCCTTGTTCAGTGCTTTCTCTTCTCTACCACATTTCTTTACCCCCACCTCCCCCCCACACACAAAAAAAAGCACTGAGCACATAGACAGTCTTCAGTTTGCAAATGACCCTTTTTTAAATGTTAGCCTGCCTTACCTCTGGGACTCCCACTGCTATCAAATCAGTTGTGAAAAAAACATGGAACCTTTTGAGATTCTTTATTTTGAGAAATGGAAGAAGAGAATACAAAAAAGCAAGAATAGCTTAGAAGGACTACTTTAGATTACTGCCCCTGCCCCAAACTGCCTGTGTTTCCCTCCTTCCCCTCCCAACCCGTGTACAGTTTGTTACACTTCTGAAATTTTGCCAATTTCATTTAGGTTGATGAGCTGGCACTTTTAAAAATGCACATGATACGGACTGAGGGTCTGTTCATTCACACTGCAGTGTGGTTTAATTCAATCAGCTACACCAAAGGAATGGGGTTTGGTTGGAGAGAGAAAGGGAAGGAGGAATGTAAATTTGGAGCATGGAGCATTTAGGGGAAGGTAGGGCAAATAGAGTTGAGGTTCTGCAGTAGGAAAACATGAAAACATTAGTGGCTCAGAGAGAAAGTTGCAGAAAAGGAGGTGGAAAAGGTACCAAAGATAAATTTAATCTGTTCCAAAACCTCCCAGGGTCTGAGGAAGTAGGGTGGGAACACTTACCCTCTTTTTGTAGTATGTTGCCTCTGGTTCACAACCTTACAATTCAAGCTAGTCCTGTTAATATTATCAGTCAGCTACATTATAAATTGAAAGGTTTTTGTGTCTTAGTTAGGAAACCTAACCACTTTTGTACCATTATTTCTATGAGAAAATGCATTCCAGGTTCTAAACCACTTAATTTTGGAATGCAATTCATTTGTAAGTTGGAAGGTTGCTTGGGGTTTTTTTGTGTGTCAGACCATTTCATGTATAAAGAAAGCCAAGGCAGAGTTAAAGTATTTTCTATAAATAAGTGATTCAGAATATCTCTTAACTCAAGGTTTCAAGAAAAGAACATTCACCATCTATAATTGGAGCTTGTGCTTTCCTTCCTCCCACTGTCTAAATAACTACATTCTGTAGTCTCACCTTGTCATTGAACTGAAGCTGTTCTCTCCAAAGTGACCAGTGATATTTTTAAATTGCCAAATCTAATGGCCTTTTCTGAATCCTCATTCTTGTTTACCTTTCTGCAGCCTTTGGCACTGTTTGTCACCATCTTCGGCTTGATTATTTTTTTCCTCTAGATTTTTGTGATACTGGTCTCTTTTGGTTCTCCTCTTATTTTCTCAGTCTGCTTTGCTAGATCTTCATCCAGGTCGCACCTGCTAACTTTCAGTTATCTATACAGATGATTATCAGCCCTAATCTCTCTCTTGAGCTCTAACCTCACATTTCCAACTGCCTATTAGACATCTTGAACTAAACGTGTACTAGACATTTTCGTCTTAACTTTTCCAAAACTGAATTCATTATCTTTGCCCTCAATCCCTCTCTTCTTCCTAACTTCCCTGTTACTATAAAAGGGTACCATCATCCTCCCAGTCACCTTGACTCACAATTTGCGTATTGTCCTCAGTTCCTAAATCTCTCTCACTTCTCCTATCCCCAGTATTAGTTGCCATTTCCTGTCAATTCTACCTTCATAACATCTCTTATATATACCCCTTTCTCCCCCTGACACTGTTACCACCTTGCACCTCAGTATAAGCCCTCATCACCTAATGCTAATTGCAGTAGTCATCTGGTTGATTGCCCACAAGTCTCTCCCCACTCCTGTCCAACTTCCACTCTGGTACCAAATTTATCTTAAAGCACGGGTCTGACCATGTCACTTCCCCTGTTCAGTAAGCTCTAGTAGCTCTCTATTGCTCCCAGAATTGAATATAAAATCATATGTTTGGCTTTTAAAGCCTTTCATAACCTGGTCCCTTCCTACCTTTCTGGTCTTCTTATATCTTACAGTCCCCCACATAGTTCTATGATCTCATGAACACTGTTCTTCATGCTGTTTTTCACCCACAGTATTCCATCTCTCGACTTTGCATTTTCCCTTGTTCATTCCTTTTGTCTGTAATGCTTATCCTCCTCATAGCCATTTCCTGGTTTCCCTGGCTTCCTTCAAGCCCCATCTTCGGTTTAAAAAAAAACCTTTCTTGTTTCCCCCTTAATGTTAGTGAGTTCCTTCTCGGATTATCTCCAATTTACACTGTAATATATCTTTATTTCTGTGTAAGCTGTATGCACATTGTCTCCCGTCTTAGACTGTGAGCTCCTTGAGAGAAGGGGCTGTCTTTTGTCTCTTTTTTATATCTTCATCCCTTAGCACTGTGCCTGGGACATAGTAAGTACTTAATAAATGTTTATTGACTGACTTCATATATTGGTTATTTGACCCCTAGGGAAGTCCCTTAGTCTTGCCTTTAAGTGTTTTTGGCACCTCTCTAAGACTGAGTTGTAGAGAGGGTGCCAATTGATTAGTAGAGAGACTTTTCTCATGTGGGAGTTGCCTATAATCAATGAAATTATAGGTTCAGCCCCTGTCTCTATTTATATTGTTAGTGTTCATAACAGGTTATTTGGATGAGTTTTCTGGTAGACTTTTGAAAATTTTGCCTTTCTTTGGCCTTGTAGGCAGAAGAAAACCTTGGTATGGTTATGATCTTCACCCTAGTATCAGCTGTTCAAGAAAAACTAAATGAAATTGTAGATCAAATCAAAACTAGAAGAGAAGAAGAAAAAAAGCAGAAAGAAAAAGAAGCAGAAGAAGCAGAAAGGGTATGGAAAAGACAAGGTTTATTTTTTGGAAAGTGGTTTTTCATTTCCTAAATTCATATTTTTATTACTTAGTGAATTACAACAAAAATGGTGCCCCTTTTCCATTGGTTGGTGGTACAGCAGGGAGCACTGACTAGGGTTCCACCTGTGGTATTAAAACTCAAGTTTTGTACCACAAAGTCTGAATGATATCAAATGGTTTAACGTTAAAAGTGGTTTTGTATTGTCAGAGTCTCTCAGTTTTAATATATTCCATATAAGTAAAATACTCTGCAAAAATAAAATCCTTGTAGAAACTCCCTAAACTGCTGTGTGAAGGTTTCAAATATTTATTATAAGGATTTTAGGAACTACAAAAACATTAGTTTCTTAGCATAATAAGGGTTAAGTACTTATTTTAAAGGACTAATTAGCCACAAATTGCTGTCTTATTTTTGCTTTCTTATTACTAATAGCCTTTGTGTATATCTTCAGTTTTCCTCATCCTTTGTATTGATAGAATCATGAACTATTTCTCCCATGCCATCGAACCCTAATGTGGGCAGTCTATGAAAAAAAGTCTTCTTTGGTACAGTAATTAGTTGACAGACAAGCAGAAAGGAAGTTAATTGTATTGAAACATTTTACTGGGATTGACTAAAATATGTTAATTTAACCTCTCTGCTCTAGTTACCAGTTGATAACTTTTCAGTATCCAGCAATTTGGGAAGCAGGGTTAATTAATCTTGGCTTTAGAACTGTGGACTCACTTATCTGGCCCTTATATATATTTATTTTTGTTTTCTAAGCAATGTTTCCATGGAACCCCTGTAACAATTGAGAATTTCTTAAGTTGGAAGGCCAAGTTTGATGCAGAACTCTTAGAAATTAAAAGGAAAAGAATGAAGGAAGAAGAACAAGCTGGAAAAAATAAATTAAGCGGTATGATTTTGTTTTCTTTCTGTCAGGACATCATGTTCGCGTCCCTGTAAGAAAAACATTTGGGAAAAATTGTTTTAAGGAAAAAAAATTTATATTGTGAGAAAAAGTATGGTACCTTTTAAACTATGTAGTGATTTATATTCTCAGTAATTTTGTGATAACTGTGAAAAAGGAAGTTGGGAAGTTGCAGGTAGTATTTTACAGATGGAGAAAAAAAGCATGTAATGTAGTTGATATTTATAAGCTTTTCAATGCCAGAGTCAAGCTGCATTATCTTTTCTGGTTATATCAGTCTCTAAAGCTCACCATATTTCCCACATATTTCACAGCATGATATAGTCTAAAGACCTCTGACTTCAAAAGAACCTGGGTATAAATTCTGGGCTTGCCACTTAATATCTGTGGGATTGTGGGTAATTCATTTCTGTGGCCCTCAGTTTTCACATCTGTAAAATGACAGAATTGGACCAGATAATCTCAAAGAAGTTCCATAGTCTGAATGACCCTGGTTCAGTTCTGAACCCAGACTCTTATCAAAGATCATAGATTTAGGACTGGAAAGGATGACTTGCCTAATAGTGTTGTACAAGTAGTAAATTGCAGAGCTAAGATTTGAATGCAGGTCCTTTGACCTCAAATCCCAGACACTTTCAGTTGTTTGACACAGCTTTGTGATTCTAGGCATGTCACTTCAGCTTCCTGAGCCTCAGTTTCCCTTTCCATAAAATGGGAATAATATATACTATCACTAACTTCACAGGGGTGTTGTAAATGTCAAATGAGATAATGTACATGAAGGGATTGGCAGATCTACAGGGGCTGCTACATAAATGTCAGCTGCTAAGATCTCATGCTAAAGTGAATAGATCTCATATATCCTTCAGCCATGCTGGATAAATTACATAATTCATTGAGATTGAGTGGCAGCTTGATAAAGTTGAAGGAATGCTTGATTTGGAGTCAACAGTTCTGGATTCATGTCCCAGCTCTGCCATTTACCTGCCTGTGTGCCTCAGCTTTCTAGGTCTCAGTTCCCTCATTTGTAAAATAAAATGAGGAACTCTATAGCCTCTGAAGTTACTTAAAGCTCAAAACGTATTACCATGTAATGAAAAAGCAGCATATTCCTTGTTCGTTGTCATTCTAGAGGGAGTCTGGGCTTTTTTTGCCTGAGGAGGGTGAAGAAATTATTCATTCTAATAAAAATATACTGATTTCTCTCAGGAAAACAGCTGTTTGAAACAGATCACAATCTTGACACATCTGATATCCAGTTTCTGGAAGAAGGTATGCCAACTATGACTGTAATATGTGAAAACTTGGTAGCTTATGTTTTCTTTTCCAGCATATTAAAAATGAGGAACTTCCTCCCAGCATAAAAAGACAACAGGAATTTAGAAAAGCATTCTTTACTGTTGAAGATATTTGTCAATTTTTACATTTAACTTAACAATTATATTGAGCAAAACTTGAGCAAGAATAGTATCAGTTTCTAAGTTAAGAAAAACCAAAGGTATTAAAAATCCAGCAAAAGCATCACTCCAGCCTTGTAGTAGTTGGTTACGAATTTACTTAACACTTTTTTTTTCTCAATTGTTCTACATAAATCCATGTGATCTAATTTCCAAGTCCTCTGGTGGCCTTGGGAGAAATCTCTAAGGTATACCAAACACTGACCTTCTTTTTTCTGGCCACTGCCTCCCTTTTTTTTACTGCTACTCCTCTTGGCATTAACTTCTCTTCCCTCAATGAACGCTTGTTCCCCGTGTCTATTAATTAGCCACTTTCTGGCTTTCCTTTCCTTCCTACCCATCTTCTACCTTGTGATCAGACATTGTTACCCTTGAATAGCACCTTAGAACTCCTTACCACCTTGACTGAAATGCCAATCCCCGCCAAGGGTCACACCTGCTGTATGTTTTCTCCTTTCCTATTCCTGATAATAGAAAGGCTCATTTTGATTCCTGACCCTGACATTTAACGACTGTTGGCAAATTGCTTTGATTCTTTGGGCTTCTGATTTATAAAACGAAAGATTTGGACTAGATGATCTCTTAGGTCCCTTACAGTTAATTGGGCAACAAACATTTATTAATATTGAGCAGATACTGCCGAGCCAGGCACTATACTAAGCATTGGAAATCCAAAGGAAGGCAAACATAGAAGACCCTCAAGGAACATCTTCTGACAGCATGGGATGGAATGGGACATTTCTTGCACTACATATTTTAAACTGATGATGATGATGATGCATCTTATGTGCCCTTCAGAGGTAGCTAGGTGGCACAGTGGAAAGAGTGCTGAGCCTGGAGTCAGAAAGACCTGAGTTCAGATTCTGCCTCAGACACTTATTAGCTGTGTGATCCTGGGGCTAGTCACTTAAACTCTATTTGCGTCATTTTCTTCAACTGTAAAAAGTAGCACCTACCGCCTATGGTTATTATAAGGATCAAATGAACTAATACTTATGAAGTGGTTAGCACAGTGCCTGGCATATAGTAGGTACTTAATAAATGCTTATGTCCCCTTCCACTTGCCCAAATTCAGATCCAGTGCCAAGAAGTCTATCTTGATTCCTCTTCTCTCCCAGGTGCCAGTGCCCTTTCCACATAAATTACTTTGTTCATATTTTATATTCAGTTTTATACATACATGTGTCCCCTGCTTCATGGAGTGTAGACTACTTGAAGGAACTGTTTGATTCTTGGTTCTTGTATCCTTGGCATCTAGCACAGCACCTGTTGCTTAATAAAGTCTTACTGAATTGAATTGAACCCATCCTTGCTCTTTAACTCATCAGGCCTTGAATACACAACACCTTTCTTCTTAGCAGGGAATGGTGGGAGAAATTTATATGAGATATACCTAGGGATTTGGGGAGGACTGCTTGTTCAAGATGAGCCAACCATATGATACAGCAGCGAAAAAAGTGATTATGATCTTAGGTCATATCAAAAGAGGCAGTCATTTTCAGGAATACAGAGGTGATGGTCTTGCTGTGCCTTGACCAGTCAGATCACCTGTGGAATTTTCTGTTTAGTTCTGGGCACCACATTTTGGTTGGAACACTGATAAGCTTGAGAAAGTCCATAGGAAGACAGATACAGTAGTAAAGGTCTTAAGGATGGGTTGAAGGAACTACACTTCCTAGAGAAGAAGAGATTTGGGAGGGTGTGCCTGTTGTCTCTTAAGTATTTAAAGGACTATTCTCTAGGAGAAAAATTGACTTCTTCTGTTTGCCCCAGAGGGCAGAAATAGAAGCAGTGAGAATAAGTTGAAAAGAAGATTTGAGTTTGAAATTAAAAAAAGCTGTTCTCTGATTTTGCTATGTATTCACAGTTATACATTTTTGTTATAAAGTACTATGACTTTGAAGTCAAGATCATAGGTTTAAAGGCAATGAACATTCATTAAGTGCCTATATATGCCAGTTACTGTGCTGGGCATTAGATATTGTTTCTCATTTCAGTCATGTCTGACTCTTTGTGACCCGATTTGGCATTTTCTTGGCAAAGATAACTGGAATGGTTTGCCGTTTCCTTCTCTAGCTCATTTTATAGATGAGGATACTGAGGATGAAATGACTTGCCCACTGTCTGAGGCCACATTTGAACTCAGGTCCTCCTGACTCCAGGCCTAGTGAGGCATTCTATCCCCTGTGCCACCTAGCTGGACATGGGATACAGAACTGAAAAATGACAGTCCCTTGCTCTTTAAGGAACTTACAACTTTTGTTTGATCAAGTAGTTAACTTGACTTTATTCTTTGGGCCTTAGGCTGCACCCTGAGCTGTGGCCAGCCAGCTCTCCAGTGCATGAGATCTCAAGGGATCCTGAATGAGAATGTGAGAATCTGTTCAAATCAATCCACTTACAAAGATTTCTTGAGCTCCTACTGTGTGCTTCTCCATATGCAAATTTACCACTTCTACCAGAATGGGAGTGAACTACAACCAGAACAATAGTCAGATCATCATTAGATTAATCAATTCAGCCAGACATGAGTGACCAACAACAACAATGCTGTACATTATAAATATGTTTTTATCACCAAAACTCACTCTTGCTATCATTTGAACCAAAAGTTATGGGTTTTGAGTAACATTTAACCTTTTGCACTTCCATGAGGAAATCTGGAAGTTCTATTTAGTTATTCTAATGAGCTGCATCTGCCTGTTCCTGAAGAAATAATAAAAAATGTGGTTCTCTTTTCTTTACAGCTGGTAACAGTGTGGAAGTAGATGAATCTTTGTTCCAAGAAATGGATGACTTGGAGCTAGACGATGAAGAGGATGATCCTGATTTTAATCCAGTTGATTTAGACAGTGACTAGTGATTAGACTGACTAATGAACTGGTGGTGTCAGCAGTATGGAGTCCCCATCCTTATATCTCCACTTGCAGAGAAGCTGGAATGTCACAGCATCTGTGGCTTTGCTGAGTGTGTGTTGGTTTCCTTTTCTTTTTTCTAAGAAGAAAATAATTTTAATTTTCAGGAGAATATTCTTCTGATGACTTTCATCATTGTGCTTAATAAATTGACTTGAAAATTTCAACTGTAAAGTATCCAGTGCATTTTGATGGCATCAAGCAGTCTCCGTGTTTGTGAACAAAATGGAAGGCCTGCCCAAGCTAAATGTGACTTCGTGGGTGTCCTCAATAGGGGGATCCATGGAGCATTCCTGGGGGTGTCTCAGAGTTGTGTTTCATGTGGCTATAGTGATAAAATATCATATACTGTATGTGGAATAGAGGGTATAGAGCTATGGAATCAGAGGATCAGAATTTGAATTCTGGCTTTTCTGCTTAGTACTGCTTACTGCTCTAGGCCTCAGTTTCTTCATTTCTAAAGTGAGGGGTTTGGATTAGGTGACCTTTAAGATTCCTGCCAACTCTAAATGTGATGATCCTTCCCCCCCCCATAAGGTCATTAAAGGGCCTTATAAGGTCACAGATTTAGCACTTGAAGGAGACCTCAGATGCCCTTTACACATCATTTTATGGGTGAGGAGACTAATGCCAGGGAAGTTAAAGGGACTTGTCCAAAGTCACACAGTTAGTGTCAGAGCCTGGGAACTTGGGGAGAGTGGGAGAGGCTACTTCCTAATTGAAATTAGCTTCCTTGGTTTGCCTTATTTTGGAGTGGTCTAATTAATCCCAGCTAGAGAAATCAGGATGGCTGTATCCTAATGTGGGTCAGTCTTCAGTCTGCCCTCTAATCCCCACACTTCTTTGGAGGTAGGTCTCATGGTTAAAAACTAACAATGATGCAACTAAAGCTAATTAATCTTTGGGGAATCATTTGTTCTTTATACCTTTCAAGAAATATCCTGGGTACCCTGTTATCTCGCCAACACAATGAAATGATAGTTCAACCATTACTGTGCAGAGGGCAGGCTTCTTTCAGTGCATAGCTCAGAGGGCTAAGCCGAGTTGTCATCACAAGTTGGTAACTGTGAAAGCAGTGAATCTGTTCCAGGAAATGATCAATAGCTTGTAGTAGGCTGATAGTGGCCCAGTAGATAGAGTGCCTCACTAGGCCTGGAGTCAGGAAGACCTGAGTTCAAATCTGATCTCTGAGTCTAGCAGTGTGACCCTGGGCAAGTAGCTTAACCTCTTTGCCTCAATTTCTTCATCTGTAAAGTGATCTGGAGAAATCTTTGCCAAGAAAACCTCAAATGGGGTCACAGAGAGTCGTCAGACAAGACTGAACAATAACAAGGCTTCTTGGGGTATCACATGGTATACTGGAACTTTGAATCTTGACTCTGCTACATAATAATTTTGTGGTCTTAGTCAAATGTGTTAACATCTCTGGACCCTGTTGTCTTCATCTGTAAAAAATAAAGAACAGGAGACTCCTCGCTTGAATTCCCTTCTGTCTCTAAATCCTGTAAACCCATGATTTCATCAAACCATTGTAGATCAGTCACTAACTTAAGAGTCTTAGTTGCCTTGGGGCACTGAGAAGTTAAAGGATTTGTCTGTTATCTCACTGTGTCAAGCAAAACTTGAACTCAGCTCTCCCAAATTCTAACACTGACTCTCCATTATACCATGCTTCTTTAATTACATCAAAAAGAGGGATCTTCAGCCAGTCAGTCAGTAAGCATATATCAAGTGACTGCTATGTGCCAGAGACTGTTCCGAGTACTGGCTTGGGCATAGAGGACTTGACTGTTACAATAGTTTTCTTGGAATACTTTAAAATAACATTTGCTTACAAGTTTCAAAGTGAGCTGTGGAAGTTTGACTCATGAATTACATAGAGACTAAAAAAGACTTGCTATTTATACAAACCTAGTTTTAAACAATTTTTTGAGAGGGGAAATAAATACGTTTAAGAGAATTTTTTTTAAGGCCATAAAATGGATAAGAGGGAATAGATCTCAACAACATACATTTTAAAACAGTTTGGAAAAGCAAAGGCAGAGTTGTATTGGAAAGGTCCTAGGTATGGAGAGGAAAATGGCTTAAGACTTAATTGCCAGGCTTTCATTAAAGTTGGAATTTTATAATTTTCTTCCATGGAAAGTAAAATATTAACATGCCATAGTGGTCCTATCTATAGCTTATAGCCAAAGAGAATTGCTTGCTTACAGTCACGTAGCCAGTATGTGTCAGTCAACAAGTGACTATTATGTATTAGGAAGCTAAGTGGCCCAGTGGATAGGGCACTTCGCTTAGAGTCAGGAAAACCTGAGTTCGAATGAGGCCTCAGGCACTAGCTGTGTGACCTTGGGCAAGTCACTCAACCTCTGTTTACTTTAATCTACTGGAGAAGGAAATGGCTATACACTCCAGTGTCTTTACCAAGAAAACTCCGTGGCATGGTGTTGACATATAGTCAGACACAACTGAACAACAAAGTATCAGGCATTGTGCAAAGTAGTTTTTTCTTGAGCTTACATTGGACTCATACCTCAGTCTTACTATCCCTAAGAGTGGCCCCCCGTATCTCAAGTGGGCCTTGTCACTTCAGAATGTGAACACAAGATACCTACCCTGCCTGGTTGACTGCCATAAGTATATTGATGATCCATCTGGGAAAAAGAAATGTGAGTATTTGACTTTTCAAGTGACACCAGGTAAATATTACTAGAACAGAGACCATTATGTTGAAAACCCCTGAACCCTGGCCAGTGGCCACATTTTTAATGTGAAATTCCAATGTAAGAGTATTGCAGTGTTTTGAGATGTTGCCCATAGAAATGACAGAGACTAATTTTAACTTAGCTGTTTTCAGATTTTCTAGTCCATTTCTAATGTCTTAATATCCTCAGGAAAATGAAGAAAAATGGCCTGAAGAGAAAAGGTTATTCTAATAAGGGGGAAATAATATTGCTATTATGCCTTTATGGTACTCAGGAGCAGATGTAATCTTTATCTCATTTGTTCATCACGACCCTGGGAGATAGGTCCTAAATTGAAGCAGACAAAGGTTAAGTGACTTGGCCAGGGTCACTGTTAGTAACTGTCTAGAATTTGAATTTTAGGTCTTCATGACTCCAGGCCTAGTGTTCTATCCACCAAACCACCTAGCTGCCTTCATGGTTTGAACCTCTTCATTAAAAAATGGTAATTACTTCTAGTAGTAATGAAAGTGAATTTAATGTACTGAGTTTAAATTATAAGGAATTTGGAGCTAAGAAGAAGCAAATATTGTTTTCAAAAAGTCACGAATTTCTGAGTGTGTTGAGGCCTTGAAAATATCCATTTGTTCAAAGTAAGAGTCAAAAAATGCTATGGTATTTCAGTCTTTTTTTTTTATTTAGTGAGAGGAGGGATATTTTCTTTAAATGTTTAAAAAATAAGAAAGTTTAGAAACTAAACACGTACATTAGCACTGGCCCCAAAAGAAACAGGGTAGTCCACATGGAAATTTTGCTGCCTTTTTCTTCTACTTTTTCTAACTAAAATCATAAAAATGATGGGAAATTTCATCAAAGAAAATCATAATAATAAGAAGATATGCCAGAACTTTTTAGGATTCAATTAAATTGAACACTTAATGTCTTTAAATCTTTTCATTAACAAAAAATAATATATGAGCTTAAAAAAAAAGAAAAACACTAGAAAAGTAACACATTTTTTAGAAAAGACAACTCCAAATCAATAATTCTTTAAAAAAAGAGAATAACAAAATTGAAAGAACAAAAAAGAATGGATAAAACTAGGAGCTGGGTTTTTATAAGTGCCTGAAAAAGAATAAATACAAGTTGGTTTCAAAATGAAAAAGAAGTCATAAAATTTGAAGATGAAATAATCAAACTATCAAACTATTTTGCCTAATTACAAAGCTGATAGCATAGATAAAATGAGTGAACATTTACAAAGACATGAAATGCCTAGATTAATAGAACAAGAAATAGAGTATTTAGCCCAAGTTCAGAGAAAAGAAATCCAACAATCCATAAATGAACTCTTAAAGTGTTAATAGGGGAGGGGGGTGGAAGTGGGGAGAAGTGATGGGAAACAAGACAAGATGGCTTTTCAAGTGAAATCTATCAAACGTTCAAAAAACAATTTCAATATTTTGTTGTGAAAATAGGAAAATGAGGAGCAGCTAGCTGGCACAGTGCATGGAACACTTGTCCCGGAATCAGGAGGACCTGAATTCAAATATGGCCTCAGACACTTACTAGCTGCATGACCATGGGGCAAGTCAGTTGATCCCAATTGCCTCAAAAAAAAAATAGGGAAAGGATGCATACCAAACTCTATGATACAAATAATGGTGGAAAAAAATTTTGATATCTAAACCAGAAAAAAAAATTATGGGCCACCATACCTGATGAATATTAAACATAAAAATATTAAAGTATTAGCAAAGAAGCTACAACAATATATTGAAAACATACACTATGGCCAAGATAAGTTTATACCAGAAAATAAGGGTCAATACAATTAATATAAACATGTACCATATTAAAAAAAAAATACAAACCATGTGATGATATCAGTAGATACTGAAAAGGCTTTTGATAAAAACTAAGCATCTATGTTATTTTAAAAAAAACACTAAGAAGCATAGGAATAAATGTACATTTCCATATATGATAAGTAGTATTTGTCTAAAACCAGTGCCAACATTGTATGTAATAAAAACTGGAAACCTTTCTTATGAGACCTGGGATAATACAAGAATGCCTATTTTCACCGCTATTACTTGACATAGTTCTAGAAACTAGCAATAGCATTGAGACAGAAATTGAGGGAATTAGCACAGAGAAAGAGGAAAAAAATATTACTTTTTTGCATATAATGGTTTACTTAGAGAATCTTAGAGGGTCAACTAAAAACTAATTGAAACAACTTCAGTAATGTTTCAGTATACAAAACAATCCCACATAGATCATCAGGAATTTTGTATTTTACCAATGCGCAACAGGAAGAGATAAAAATTTCATTCAAGGTAATCATAGAATATCCAGAATATCTGTGGTTGTATCTACAAAGATAGGAAACATACAAATACAAGTATAAACCACTTTATAAAAATAGGCTTAAATAATAGGAAAAGTTTTCATTGCTTCTTCATAAATTGTGCCAACAT